AAAAAAAAAAAAATGAAAATCTGAATGAGAAGTATGACTCTTATGCAACAACATAAGCGGAAAATATAAACGCTCGTAAAGAAAAATGAGTTTAAAATGTAGTCATGGAAAATGCATTTTAAGTGAAGATTATGAGCCTTGAGGAAGTAGATTAAGTGAAAACTGCAGAATTACTGTTGAGGTTGAGCGCAAATGTGAACGTTTAGGTGTCATAATAGCGAGTGCAAACTAGATACCTGTCCGTGATAGTGCTTGCCAGCTTGCTGAGTTGTCGCAATCGAAAATTTTCATAATGAACGCTGCGCGTCACATCGATCATATCAATCAGATTGAATCTTAAGATAGAAACAAAGTAATTTATAGGCCGGGAGGAGTGTCTGGATTCATATCGCGGATCATGAGCGTCTACCTTATGATCATTTGCCTGAGCGCCACAAAATCACTGTGTTTCAGATTCTCAACTTCCACTGTTCCCCAGGGATAAGCACGACACCTGCAGATTCGCCCATCGGCTAGCTTTTGCACCTGCAACAGAACACTCAGAACAACCTTCTTGCCTCTTTTGATTTTTTTTTCATAAAAAATTCACCTAATCGGAAGATCTTCCGTGCAGCGGTTTTTGTACTAACCTGATTACTTCCAACAACGGCAAAAGGAACACGCTCCTGTAAGGGGCCAAGCTCTTTCAATTCTTCCTCATCTTCTAGGTCCGGGAAATTGTACAATTTGATTCCGTTTTCAGCTATATCTTCAAGAATCTAAAATCAAATTTGATAAAGTTTTTCAGATAATTCCTGGAAGTGTTTGCCTTCCCAACTTCAATTCCGTTTGAAAAATTGAGATTAACTTTTTCAAAACCTAGTGAGAATATCTTTCAGGATTATAATAGTAAGGGATCCTGCTTGCTAGACTTGCAATAGAAAATTTCGTGGCGTCAAAACGGTTAAGCGTACTGACTAAGTGAGATAAGATGTGAGACAGAAAGGGAGCGAGATGTCTTCATCGTTCATGGTCATTGTCTTTCATTCCTCATTTCAGTGCACTCTTGAAATTCTCGGAGATTCTCCACATAAATTTAAGGGTCCCTCAAAAAAGCCAGTGGTTTGTCTTAGAAAGTTCCACGGAGTTAACACTGACCAATAGATTATGGATAATTCAATTCCGCAACAAACCTTACCCTTTTTTTGAAACATGCTAATTCCTCCGCAGTCATAGCATCTGCTTTAGCTATCACTGGCAGTAGATTAACCCTGTCGTGCAGATGTTTCATAACCGTAGCATCCAAAGGCATCAATCTAAAACAAATGAATTTCATTTCTGTCTCGGGTCCGCTTTTCAAAGATTCAAAACTTTTGTCTTTTGCTAGAAAAAACAGAATTTTATGCCATTTTTAAAGAAACGTTTTTATGCGTTTTGCATATATGCAAGTTGCAA